AAAAAAAGATGACTTGATTGAGTCTGATGTTTATTTAAAAAAAAAAAATCAAAATGAAAGATTAATCACAGATTTTTTCAATTTAATTCACAAACATTGTTGGACGTTTTCATTTACAGGAAGCCCCATTCAGCACTGTGAAGAGCATTCACAAATCTGAATTTATCAAATAAACTGTAGACATCATTTTAACCAGAGCCAGTTCAGTGGAATTTATATAGCAACAAAAAAAGATCTGCCATCTCCAGCAAACTTCAGCGATACAGTCCACTCTAAGCACCTTTTAATCAAAGTCATCATTATCTAACTGCCAGTTGGCAGGGGATGAGGCAGTAAGTCTTTTGACACGGCACTTTCTCTCCGCACGGAGGCCCTCTTCATTACATCAGAATACCACAGATCACTTGTAAAATCGTTTTACTCGTTTTACTGGGAGCTTTTGGAAGGAGCAAGTCACATTCAGCTGGTTCTCTGGCTTCGAACGAGGAAATAACTCTGTCTGTGTGTTTGTGTGTTTGAATTTTTTTATTAGCCAGTGATGAAACAAAGGCTACTTTAAGATGGGCACTTATGTACCGATTATCCATTTTCTTTATCGCACTTCTGATGATAAGCGCTTTGTTACTCAAAGGCTAACCACTCAGTTAGCATCAGCAGATCCTTCTGCGGAGGAATTCCCAGCCGGACTAATCAATGGGATGAGATCTGTGAGTGTGATTAGACGCAGCCTTGTGCCTTCCTTATTTCTCTTGTGCAAGGAAAGCTTGTAAGGCTGTTATTTATGAATCCCTGATAAACAATTCCATGTCCGATCAGGGAGGTGTATGAAAGAGAAAAGCTAATCATAAAAAAAGGCAGACGGAGCTAATGTTGATAATAAGTACCCATTACTTTTTGCCAAAAAGGTACTTTAATTCTTTTAGATATTAATATAAGATGGGTAAACTAATAAGGTAATTTTTTCTCCAAATTAAATGCCAAAAGACAAAAAGTTATCAATAGGCCGCACATTTTTATTTGTAATATATTTGTTGCCAAAGAGATAATGTGTAGGCTATATTTAAATATCACAAACTGTGATCTCTCCACTATATGCCCAGAATCTATTGTAATTGATTCATAACTTGGTCGGCAGTTAACACACACTGCTTCAGCTGTGCTTTTCTTCTCATTGTTAATTGGAAACATAATAGCCGACTAACAAGCTAAAATAACATATTTTACAACCAATATATGAAAAATTCCAATCTGAGATTTGGTTACTAATAGTATAGCTAGTAGTAACTACTAAATGTTGATAGAACATGCCCCCCCCTAGAAAATATGGAAAGAAAAGCGGACCAATCAGCAAATATAAGAAACGAAATACAGTAATGACTTGAATAAATTGGCGGTTTGGGGTTTTAGTAATCTGAGATCTGGAAAAACACGCTTAATGCGAGTTTATCAGGGGACACAAACAATGAGATGGGCTGTTCAACTGAAAATGTTGCTCAAATATTGGACATTCAAGTGACAGCTGCAAATTTAAAAGCCCCAGAAAAAAAGAAATAAACTGCAGCTCGTGACTAACTCATGTTGTCTGAAATGTAATCGTTTTTCCCAGCGATGTGTCACTTCACCAGAAAAAAACCTTTTTCATTCTCCAACCCAGTGAATAAACTGTTAAACATCTTTCCCTGCTCTTCTTATTCTCCTTTCTGGTTCTTTTGCGCCATTTTTCCTCAATGCATGAACATAAAACTTGCTTGATTGTGCGTTGAATAAGTTCAAACTGAGAAGCAGCAACGCTTTTGTGCTTGCTTCAAATAGATGGTGATAAGCAGCTGTGTGTACAGAATCTCTAAATGGATCGCCACCGTCGTGGTATCAGTGATTCACTTCAGGTCTTTGGAAAAACACTGGAGCTAAGAAGGGCCGGACTGACCTTGTAGTGAGATGAGAGGGCCAGCTTCCTGGAGTCCGTTTGGCCCATTTTTATATTTTGCTGTAGTCTGTGTGACATCTGAGAGAGATCTAGCCAGTGTTGAGTGCTTTTTGCTCTTGTGTTGATGCTTTAACCTGTAAATAGTCCTTGTATACATGCGCACTCCATGTTTAAATCCATAACTTAAATAGGATTTCTATGAAAAGCCATTCTATTTGCCAAATCTCTTACAGACTAATATAAGCTGCAGCCATCACGTTTGTGATACGGTACGATTTTTCTTGGAAAAGACTGTTCGAATTCAAAGGCTATTATATTCTTTTGCTAACACATTATACCGCACACACATCTTTCCTGACCTTTAGTACATTGTCCTGAAAGTTGCGCACCAGCTAACTTGGACTGACCTGAAGTGTTGAGACTCGCTGCGATAAAAGGGGAAGAAAGGATTTATCTTTCAAAACTTAAGCCTTGCAAAACAGCTGGCCTGGATTCAGTGCCCAAGCAAGACCTATTTCTCTCTGTCCTAGATTTCCCTGACATCAAAGACGTTGAAGTATTATACTTGTTTAATGTCCTGATTTTAAGATTAGAATTCGTTTGCATGTTATCATCAATTCAACTGGTTAAAAATGTATGAAAAATATTATATCATCTTTAAACGCTAATTCATCTATGTATGCAGTACATTTGAAACTTTTTTATTCATCGATTTGTTTTTGTGGCGTTTGTAGAGAAAACCCAGCTCAGTGATCCTCAGTGGTTTGTGTTCCAGCACATCTGATATACAAAGTCATCCATCAAAGCAGTGGGCTTTAAATTCCCGCTTTAAACGTGTAGAAAAAACCTAAACTCTCAGACAGGCATTTACAACATTGCTTGTGATCTTTATAGAACGGTAGAGGAACGAATTCTGACAACTTGTTGCGTGGGACTTTTAGCGTGCGCTGTTAGGAACTGATGAAGTGAGTAGATGGGAAGTCCGCACAAGTTAGAATAGCGAAAGAAGGAAAAAAAAGAGCTGAGCAAGGCTCATCAGCTCTCAGTCTGGAGTGAGTTTTCAGCCTATAACCTCAGGCCACACAAAGCCTAACCCTTTAAGACCGTACATATCATATTAGATACGCAGATTTCTGAGACCTATTGCACTTTCGCTTAAATGTGGCAGGTTATGGGACTGGATAGTGGACATGACCATATTTGTGTACTGATAGATTCCCATTAACTGAATGAAGACAAAGGTTCAGATTTACATGCCATGTCCTATAACAATATTCTATAAAAAAAAAAAACTCTTCGAATGCAAATCTTTATATTTTTGTGTTTTTATATTCCTTCTTCTTTTTACCATAAGATTTCTCCACTGATTTGAGAGTCTTACCAGCGCTTATTAGGAACCCACTGAGGCATCTCATTGTCCACCGTGGGTGTATGACTGTGGAATAAGCTAAAAAGAGATTAAGGCGATGCTGGAAACACCCATTAAACCCTCTAAGACTTGTGGGTGATACTGGATTTAGCACTGGTGGCGCGATAAGGCCTTTCTCCCCTGCATAATTGATGGCTGTAATCCATGTATTGTTTTAAGAATACGTCCTGTTGGTGTGTGAACACGGCCCCCTGTGGGTTGGTTGAGGAGAGTAGTGATTTTGTGCACCAGAATTACCACTTCCCACTGACTGGGTGAAAATGGTATAATTGGGATGTGCCAAAATGGCTTGGCCACTTATGTAGGACATGGGCGTATGCAAATGCAGGCTCACAATGTGAATGCTACAACATAATGTAGAAACAGTGTCAAAGGACTTCTTAAATGTATCTCTATTCCATAAAAAAAGCTTGATTTTTCATTCCATTTTCATAAAGCAATAAGTTCTCCTTTTCTGTTTGTAATCATCATTATGTTGACAGTGTGTGTACTACCATTCTCACTCAGTCAGTTCCTCGCCTCTCTTGCTGTTATTAGTACCACTGAGAGTATTAACAAGGTTTTAACAAGTCAACAGCTATACCAGCTTTTCTGTAATGAATGAAAAGTGACAATGTCCAGGGGAAGATGGAGGGTGAGAAGGAGATTTTCATCCCTAAAGTCAGCGATCAATCCCTCAATGCCTTGGAGCACCCAGGGGAAATCCATTTGGTGTCGTTCATGGTCTCCGTCTGAATTACTACATCCTTGTGTTGATCGCTATCACGAATCACAAGTTTTGCTTAATCTCTGCAAAGTATGTAATTAACCCTGCACTGATTCATATCGCTCATTAAATTAACACAGATAGGACAGTGAAAATAGGGCACGGTGCCTTATTATTCCAGCTCGGCTGCTAATGTGTAAATGCTGAGGATCTTTCAAACATCTGCTCTGTGTGGCTATTTCTGTGTATCTCTTTCATGTTTCCTGAAGGTGTTTCTTCTTTTTTTTATATAAGGAAAAATTAGAATAATTTTACTGCCGTGTTGTGATTCTGCTAATACAAAAATGTGATTCTGCCAATGAGCTAATGCTAATTATTAAATGCCTGCTTACTGTGAATGGGCAGAAAACTAATTTCAAATGAATGCACGACATTTCAAAATCATTCCATTTGTACTTTTGATTGGCATCTTTTGTGTTTTATGCAGAAAGGAGGCTCTATTTATCTTTGAATGGCTACTATAAAGTAGAAAAGTGTTTGCAGACTTCCTCATTTTGCACTCAATACATTTTCATATTTCAGTTTTGCCTAAAATTCACAGCTCATCTGTTTGTTAAACCTCTGAAAAAAAACCTTGCAGTGATGCATTGCCTCCCAAAAGTCTCATACAGTTGACTTGAATTGATCAACTGAAGAGCTTCGAATTTGCTGAGGTTACAGCATGTGAGGTAAATAATATATCCACAAAAAGTAATTAGGGTATAAAAGTTCAGCTCATTTTATGCTTGCTTAAGTAAGTGTGTGTGTTTGTGTATAGCTCAGTAATTTGACTCAAAGTTTTCACATTTACCAGGATTTGATGACTGTTGTATCTATTCTGAACAGAAGTATTCTGGTCTAACACAGTGTTTTTTCTTCTTTTTTTTCTTTCCTTACAGTTATCGTTTGCAGCAACAACCCCAGTTCTAGCAGACAAGAAAAAGTATCCCAATTTCTTCCGCACTGTCCCGTCCGACAACGCTGTGAACCCGGCCGTTGTCAAGTTTCTCAACTACTACAACTGGAGCCGCGTGGGCACCCTCACACAGGACGTGCAGAGATTCTCAGAGGTCAGTTCTTTATTCTAATTATTTAAAAGTGCTGCATGTTATAACTAAGTAGAACCTAAACAGATATAGGTCCTTCTTGTAAGGATCTGTTCTTTTTCCAACATGAGCAATAAGAACACAGTTTACCTCCGTAGACTTTTGAGGCGTTTGTAAAATGATTGTTGTTGTTTTGAAGATATTGGAAGACCGGGGTGGGCAATATCATGACAACCCCGTTCGTTTAGGTTGAAAACAACTTTGGAGACGATATTGCTCGATGTCGTTTTTTAAAAATCTATTTCAGTGATGTCAGAAAAAAACCATCAGGAGAAAATGTTGCTTTGTGCGTCCTGAACAGATGTAGCCATCCAACTCTTTGTAATCCGAAAAAGACTTCAGAAGAAAGAAATTGAACCGAGAGACACGACAATAACCCGCTAAAGCCCCCACGCAGAATCCGTCTCCCTCTAAATAAACAGTCAGTGAGGGGCGCAGAGCCTGTCGGGGGGAGACTAACTACTCTGCAAATGCTTGCTTTAGCACAGCAGGTCCAGATTGTCAGGTCAGAATTTAATCTTTGTGTAGCGTACGGAGGAGCTACACACCTTTTTTTTTGTTGGGTAATCACACTCTGGGCATTAAGAACAGATGGTTAGTGAGGTGGGACTGAAGAAAGGTCTTTCTTTTTCAACTAAAAATGACCATGACTACAAATTGCCGTTGGCTTACAATGTCTACTACAGAGAACGCAGTCCAGTGCTGACACCTAATTTGCATTTTGACTCCAGAAGGTTTTGACCCGCACATCTTAATAAACTCCAACGGTGTGCTTATTGAATCCAAAACACGTGCGACTTCAATGATACAAGGTGGTAATAACCCCACAAAAGAGAGCAGTCACTGAAAGATCAGTTATTTCGGGCTGCACGGCGGTTTTGGTGGTTAGAATCGTTGTCTCACGGCTAAAGTGGATCCCGGCCGGAATCCCTGGGGGCCTTTTTGTGTGGAGTTTACATGTTCTCTCAGCAAATGGTACTCCAACTTCCTTCCATAATACAACAAAACATATGCATTAAGTTCATATAAAAGTATATATTCAGCCCCGTTTTGACTCTGAATGATCATAGTTATAAAATCTAAGTTAAAATAAACGTATGCTTGCTCTGTACATAAAAAAAGATCATACCTAGGTTAAAAATCAAACTGTGCTATGGGCAGGATTTTTCCACCTGCCCAAAGCAAAGGTTGAAAAATCTGATCAAACGAAACCTCTGATTTATTTTTTGCTACACTATAAGAATATAAAACTGTCAACAGAGCCAAGTTAGTAAAATATGTAAATGTATAGATCTATGTAAATCATATACTTTACATTTTCTGATTATCAACATCTCCAGTTTGATTACATGTATGAGGTTTTCTGTGTGAGTCTGTGTGATGGTTGAAGAAAAGTTCTCCATAGATGATTTATTCATAGATTCAACTATTTATTTAGTTCTTTCAAGATCAAGCACTGTTTACGCAAGTTTTATCGTTGTATTGTCAAAGCCAGTGTAAGCTGGCCCTTAAGACCTTATTTAATTTATATGTTTTGGAGCTCCCATGGCTCAGTGATGAACGCTATTCATTTTTTTCCAGCCTTGCCTCTCCCAATCGACCTTATTATAGGATAAATATTTATCTCTTTTGAAGGTGAAGAGTAAGACCTCATTATCATAAAAAGGATAAATACACAGATATTTTTTTTGTCTTGCGTTGATGCAGAGGCTGGAGGGAACTAACTGCATTAAACATTGTCGAACAATTATCATTTATTGTTGAATGAGTTCCAGACTTTGAGGTTAGATTTTCAAGATAAGATGCACAGAAAATGAACTATTTTCAAACTGAAAACATTTAAAATATTACAAATTATCAGCCTGAACTTTCATGTCTTTTATTTCCCGACTTCTGTCATCAGTTTAGATCATTTTGATATAATTTGCATCTGGGGTTTACTGTGTTGTAAAAAACAAAAACGTTTATTAATGTGTATCTAGAATAAAAATGTCCCTCTTTTTTGGAGCTAAAATATAACTTAACGTCACTGGTGATGTATTGGAAGTTTTGCATTATCGTGGAAATCTGCTCAATTACCATACCTATATCAAATCTTCTGTCTTATGGGAGAAAATGATAAACAGCTCTGACATGTATTCAAACCTTATTTACAATAAATCAAAAGATAAAAGTTAGTTGAAAGTTCCTTTGAACTAAAATGGAAGCTACTAAGAGAAACAGATAAGGACTAATAACATAAAGATCCATCAGCAGTGTATCAGCAGTCTGGAAAACAGAGCCACTTCAGAAATTGGGTATGTTTTAGAGACATTTTGTGAGCCCTCGCCTCTGGGCTCTGGTTGAAAACAACCTGCTTGGCAGCTGAGAGGGGGAGACGCAGGGAGGGAGATGTGTAGAAGGAGTCTCACTGCAAATCTCAGAGAGACCAAATCCTTTTATCACACTCTAACGGAAAGCACCGAGGGGCTTAGGACGGAAGGAAGACAGACAGCCCGATTCCATCAACCTGCCGTGAGATTGGCCTCTAATCCCGATTTACAAATATGCAAGCATCCCCTCCACACTTCACGACTCGTACAACCTTCTGTTTTGTTCAAAGCACGTTTTTATTTTCCAGAGTATTTGGTAATTGTTGAGGCGTGTCTGAAATTGCTGGTGGGAACAAAACCTTGATTTTACTTGAATATAGCCATACAAAACAAAAACTGAGTCAAAAGAATTATTACTCGCTATATTTCTTTATATTCTATAGGAAGACAGCTTAGATTATTTATTTTATTATGATCTATTTATTTTATCTTAAAGTCAGTTATCAATTCTATCATTTTGCTGCACATACAAACATTTAGAAACAGAAATATCTGTGTAACAGCTGGCCAAAGTTGTGGCCTTAATGGACAGTTTTTACTTTTGACATAATTAACAATGAGTTTAAACACATTATCACAGAGACCCATAATCCAGTTTTAGAGAATTTCAATTCCATATTTGTTCCATTATTTTGGCTAAACTAACATTTTTGCACGTACTTTAAAAGCCTAATTTTGGTCATGCTAACAGTCCTAATTTTTTTTCATTTTATTCCACTCACTATGAGTCAATGCCCCTTAAAGACAGAGTAGTACTGGGTTGTGTGTCTTAAATGTTACATGCAAATATGCAATCTGCATAAGGATTCCACTCTCAATGATGTCGTGATGTCAACTCCATACAGATCTGGGGTTTTTTTGTCCCGCCATTTCCCAATGAGACTGCTCGCAAGGTTATTGTTATGTAACGCTTGTTAAGCATTCAGTCGGTGCCTCGCGCCTCACACAACCACACCTACAGTATGGTGTCCCCTGGGAGTGTAACCTGTAAGCCGATGCTGGTGCGTCACTTCTATTTATAGGCACCACCGGAGCCCCCACTTTGGGCCAGATGTACCTTGTTAATAGGTGGACGGTGTTCTTTTGGTAGTAGGGCATTCGTGGTGCAATGTTGATGGGAGTAAATATCAGAAAAAGGCGTCTTTTTTGCGAGTATTAGGATGCCAAATCACAGGACACACACACACCCACAGCAATTAACATCATTGAAATTGTCAGTGTTTCTCTACTTTCCGCTGACACCTTGCTCTAGAGCGAACTGAGTTTGTGCTTTTTCAGTTTATCCAAATTGTTCAGGATGAGTATCCAAGAGAACTTGCTCACGCTCGTTTCCAGAATTGCTGATTTACGGCATTGCACGGGCAGTGTGAATCCACGAGAGGGAGTTTCGTGGGCAGCTATTTGTCAGGCTAGTTTGAATCAGCTCTGCAGTGTCGTTGTATTCTGAGCTGTCGGGTGATTTACATGGCAGTGTAACAGCACGAGAGAAAATGTGATGAAGGTGAGACAGTTAAATGAGTCAATTAAAAAACACACCTTATGAATTCTGTGATCTTACCTTTCTGCAAATATGAGAGTTCTTGCTAATTGTGTAACCGAGGCACACCTGAAAGATCATTTGAAGACGGCATTCAAGAAAATGTTCGGAAATAATAAAATGATGGGAGTGACTGATAGGATGATCTTAGCTCTAGACGTCTGTAAGCAAAGAGGGGAATGTATTAACCGTGATTTAATGAAAGACAAACAGCACAGTGGTCATGATGTGAGCTCCAGAAGGAAATAGATGGCATTAAAGGCTGAAGACCACCGGATCAGAGAGGGTAGAGAATGAAAGGAGGACACCAGGATGAATTCTAATGAGCCTCAGCCAATAAAAGGCCAACATACGAGCAGTTTAGAATCACAAACTCATCTTTGGTCAGTTAATGTGTGTCAAAATGCTTTATATCCCAACTGAGTAATCTAATACCCTTTTGTGTGTGTGTGTGTGTTTGTGTGTGACTGTCAATTTACAAAGATGAGATTGTGTATACATGCACACACGCTCAGAAAGGGCAGCAGGATTATTTTCTCCTGTATCTGGTGCCGGGGGGATTCCCAGGTTGCCCCACACAAAGGCGGATGTTTTTTTGTTATGCAGGAAAGCTGCTCACCTCTTTTCTTCCCACCAGCTTTCAATCCGTCTGTCCCCCTCTGTCTCTCTCGCTCTGTTTAGCCCACATAGCATAGTCCAGAGGAGCACAGAAATGTCAGTCCTTTTCCATCCCCGTGAAAGAAACAAAACCCACAAAAATAAAAAAAATCTCGCATAACAGGGAATTTATTGCTGGGGGAAAATAGATCTTGGGTCTCAGATCCAGTTTTGTTGGACATGTTTGTGATTTGGTTTTGTTGTGGAACATAATTTTTTGCATGTCGTGTCTGAATGGGAGAATTTTCGTCCATTGGCTAGTTTCCCTTTTAGCAGTCGGGCATTTTAGATCAACACTCCGAACAACACAACAGGGCCTTTTACCATGTATGGACCACCAGGCCAGCTTGTTACTCAAGAGCTAAAAACCAGGTCGTATTGATCCACTCCGGTCTTCCGGTTGTTTCAGCTCAGTGAGCACAACATTAGAGGAAATGTTTGTACAGGAGTGAGTGATGTTCTGAGTGATTTAGAACTCCCCCCCCCCCCAGGGCGCCAGAGGAGCGGGCGGTTATGATAGCGGACACCTAGAGACGTGAATGAAACAAAGTTCAGGTTGCGCTGATTCATCGATTTTTTTAGACGGCGACAACCGTGTTTGACAACACGATCCAGTAGGTATGCTAATGTCGGAGGAGGTATAATTAGCAATGCGGTGCTAATGGTGCGGGGGTGGCAAGGATTTGAAGTCCTCTGACAAAAAAATCTACCAGTTTATTATAAACAAGCTGCTTATGTTTCTTGTGGTGGAGAGTTCCGTGTGTGGTGAGCTCAAATCCAAAAGGTTTCAGCCATTCGTTGTTATCATGCCTTCAGAACTCGGTAATAATAATCCAATTTACCGCCACTGCCTGGTTGTTTTTCGGTGGCCTTTCGTGTCACTAAAACTCGACTGGAATAGTTTCCTGTGTGAATTCAGGCTATGCAAACATTCAAACGTTCATTCATTTTTCAGACTGTCAGGAAACGGCTGAGCTTCCAGCAAAAAATAACCTTTTTTTTTTTAGGTGGAGTGGCAAGGCCCTGTGGGCTGGTGTTGATAGACAACATGTCTTTGTGTGTGTGTTCTTATAATTTCTGTTCAATACATAGCCAGATCAGTTCAGGATGCAGAAATCTGCATTTATATCGGCGCTCAGCCACAAAGAGCAAACATCCAGGATCCTTCGTCTGTTGGCTGTTTCTGTGTTGTCACTGCCAACTGTGCTTGGCACGCACATTTGAGAACACACCCCTTCTGATCTCCCAGCATGCCCCGAGTGGCATGCCTTTTTTTGGGGGTAGAGGCTGATTATGGCCACGGGGCATTGCCGAAGGAAAATCGGAAATTAAATGTAGTCGGAGGGAGTGAGAGATGTCATGACATTAGCAAAAAAATCCACAGCCCCTCTGGTGGTAGACGGTTTCACATCTTCTCAGGTGTGACTGAGGATTTTAAGAACAGCAACATGGCAGGTCTATCTTTGTCAAGAGTGGGTGTCTTCAAAGATCGCTACACAGCTGACTCTACTGTAACTGAGCCAACCTTGATGCTGTTAGCTTTTAGCGGTGGTTTTCCTGCTATGACTGCTCAAAATATCGCAATGACGCAAGGGAGACGAATTAGAAGAAGCGACCACGATGAATGGTGTGTTTGTCTGGGATGATAAACCACCTCCAGCTCGCGGTCCCAGTGGAACACCTGCTCCTTTCTCCTATTTGATCACATCACTACCATTTCCACTGGATCTATACATCAGAGAAGACATATAGCTGCTGCAGACACAGCGATATGTACATCAGCCAAGATAAACTACTAAAACCATTTTAATTTTAAACATATATTCGTTCATTAGTACATATCGAACATCTGTACATCCCGATGACACATTTACTTTGTCTATGTTATGAGAGGATTCAAACTGTCCATTCAGATGGAAACGTCAAACTGGAATCGGTGTCTTCTTTCATAGATTTGTGTTGCTTTTAAATATGAAACAGCTGTCTCTATTTTATTGCACTTACGATTTCTCTTTTCCTTTTTCCTGTTTTGTTTTGGAATGCTGTGTACAGAAAGTCTGTATGAAGTCTGTATTAAAATGTAAAGGTCCTCAAGTGTGAAAAGATGTACTTAAATGCATTGCACTTCACTTTTGGCTGGACGAAGATGTTGGTATCTACAACTATTTGACAGTATATGCTTCTAACTAGGAGTCCAATGGGACCATCATCATTGCTAATATATGTCACACCAACACAATAAAGTGGATTGGTTTGGATAAGTACCTGAACTATTATCGATGGATCGTGCTTCAAGTATTTTCTCTTTCTTATTTTCCCTCTCTTTGTCCTTCTTTCCCTTCTATTGCTTTCTCAGGTGAGAAACGATCTGACCAATGAGCTGGAGAAAGCCGACATTCAGATTGCCGATACAGAAAGTTTCTCCAACGATCCCTGTGTTAATGTCAAGAAGCTTAAGGTTAGTAAAGCATCCTGCATGGGAAATAAACAGTTGTTTCCGGTTTTAAAAAAGAGCGCGTGGTAATTAATGCTCTATTTAGTATGCACATGCACAAATACATGAATTGTTGATTTTTATAAGATGTTTATTGAAAGTCTAAGCCTGAATAAATTGGTTACAAACACTAAAGGAAATTATGTACAAAAAATCAGATTTAGTGTCCTACAAAAGCAAGTGGGCACCCTCTGTTGAATTTCTTTTCAAGTAAATTATGGCGTGATTTCTGTATTTATAAGAAAAAGGAAGAAAAAAAACGCAATTGCCTTTAATACATGAAGTAAAAATTGCTTTACAAAATGACTTATACAGTTCAAAGCTCGTGATTACTTGCTGTAGCTTTTGATTCTTGATCTGGGATTTCAGACCCTTGATCCTGCAAAATCCTTATGATGGAGATTCTTGGGTTGTCTTGCAGGCATTGACATTTTTTTCTTTTGCATTTAGCATCTTTTTGATGCATTCTGTTCTTTGACATTATTATTTTTGTTCAGACAGGATCTTCCTTTCACTGTCACTAGTTTTAAACAATTACATTTTTGTTTCACCCATCTTTGCATATGCTGCTGCAAAGATGTTGTTTTCATCACATTTCCTATAACAAAATGAAACATTTGTTTAGATATTTCTTCTGAGGCTGAAATTCATGGTGAGGATAGTGAAGAGATTTTCTGCTCTTTGCAACAATAACACCCATGTAAAACAATGGACTATAATGGAGAATTGTAAGAAAGTTCATTATTTTTTCTTATGTAAAGTTTTTGTTTTGGATATTTTTTCTTATTTAGCCATTTTTTAATCTGAAAAATCTAATTTATTGTGGTTGTGTGAAAACACATGAGAGAATATGAGAGCTCATCTTGGATCAACTCTAGAAATGCAAATCACAATGTTGCATCAGAATATTATTAATATACTGTATTTAAATTTGGTGTCCAGAGTCGTCCAGCATAAAGGAGAAGAAAAAAAAATCACACTTAGCAGATGTTTGCTGTCTCCATGACAGCTACATGACAGGATGAGGTAGAAGGGGACCAAAAAATAAAGAGACTGTGATTTTTCCTATTGGACCAGGCTCAGTTGTGTGTATGAATCTCTTTGGTTAGCAGGGGTTTTGGTGTCACTGTGTGATCCACAAATAGAGCACTCACATCTGCATCATTCCAGCTGAAATATTTAAAAAGTAGACAGGCGGTGCTAATGCAGGGCAGTGTAGCTGCCCTCCACAGTTCTCTGTCACGTTTCGCCTTCTTCAGTTTTTTCACTTGTGCTCTGTCTCGAGTTCCCCACACAAGTGGAAAAAAAGAAGAAAAAACTCAGGCTTACATTTCTGTCCACCCCAATTCTTCACATTGATGATTATTCATCAATCTGAACTTGAACTAAGTTGGAAAATATTTCGTAAATCAGAGTTTTTTTTACTTTTTCATAAAACGTGGGGCATTTCGGACAGCTCGCTTTCAGGGATGAAGCACGAGAAAAATGTCCTGGAATCTAAATTCAGACCAAAAGTCGTATATTATTTATTATGACTTAATTATTTACCATAAATTCAGAACTGTTGCCCCTCATGTATGACACAACAGGAAGGTCAATTTCTCCACATTAAGACTGAATGCTACAATCTGTGTTTTATTTAAATACAGAGCTTTCACGTTAAGAGCATTTCCTTCTTGTTAAATGGGAACTACATTGCCATAATAGTGACACAAAATGCAAACATTTCCGGAGTTTAAGATGTTCCAATGGGCCTTTAAACCAAGAGAATCCGCACTAGATAAACCGTTTGCGCTCATAATATGATTCCAAGTTTTCCCCGCTTCATAAAGGCCCGTTATTGATACAGTTAAAACTGATAAAGCACCTCCGCTCAACCAAATCCCCGAATAGCAGCGAGGTGCGGACTGATTTTCAGAGCGTTTTCCACTGCGTCGTGGTTCACCGTCGAATCTATTCGAGCAATATCACTTCAGAGACTCTTATCAGACAATGATGCAGGATTTGTTTGTTTTGTTCGTCACCTGTAACAGTTAGTGCTCAGAAACCCATACAAAATCATCACAGACAGATGGAGGATTGTATAGTTAGCAAAAGCAACACGTCAACAAGTCCCACAAGCTCATAAAAGATTATCCTAATTGCAGCGTTTGTGTGTGTCTGTGTGTGTGTGTATTAACCCTTAAAAAGTGCCCGATTGGACATACGAGGCACGATATTCCTCAACCCACCATCACATATTAATAACCGTTATAAAGTTACAAATAACCCTGTCGTGAATAAAGCTGTCAAGGATGCCCTCAATACTACCCTCTTTGAGCACAGTAATTGTTACAGTTACATAAAAGCTTGAGCAATGAGGGTAATTTGGGGCCCTGTAGTGCCCCAGTCCATCTGTAATGCAGAAGCACACTCACTCATGCCCTTGCCTGCAACTACAGCCTTTCATGTTGTTGCCAGGCAGGCTCGAATTTATACCGAGACGGTGGGCCGTCGGCCATATCTGGAGTCATTTGGGTTAAGTGCCTTTCCTTCAGGGAAGAGCAGCTTTATTGAGTAGCCACTGGCATGTCCCACACACAGATTCATACCAGCACACACAAAATGATACAAAAGCCAACCCAGAAAAAGTTTCGCCTTTCCTTTCTTTGTTCCTGTTCTACACGCAGTACAAAAACAGTGTAAAGACGGCAGGGCAGTAGAAGAATGAGGGTTTTAAACCAAATAATCTTATATGTAACCACCACAGTTGTGTTAGAATTAAAATGACAGTGATTAGTGGCCTTTTCTGATCTGACGATACATACCATATGGTTGGGATTGCCTAAGGGATGGCTTAAAACTGCATTTGTAATGGTCTCACATCATTTAAAACAAGTGCAGATTTCCATAAGTTTCCTGACAGCTGCTGCTCTCATTGTGTATTTTCAAAGTTATTTAATCTAAAAGCACCTGTATTTAGTTATTCACAGCACCGTTTTAGAACTAAAAAATGACTGAAAGATTGTGACATACAGTTGTCTTCATCAGACGTTTTGAAAGCACGTTTGTTTTCAGAAGAAGTTCCGATGCTGAATGTTCAGCAGCATAAATGATTCATTTTTTCTCTGCAGATTTCTGTTGTCTTGTGAAAACACCCAAATGTTGTTACTGTCTGTCTGCGCTGTCAGTGATGAACAAAGGCTCCACAACAGGCTCCTGTCAGTGTTCAGCACAACATCCTGCCCCGTATCAAACCCCGTCTGTGTTACGGGATTCTGTTTTTGGTCATTTTCGATGGTTTTCTGCGTATAGGCTTCAATTGCTTTTTATCAAGAGCGTGTTTACTCATGCAAACCTGTGTTCAGGTTTATACTGACTGACTGGCTGAGGCTGATCTTTTTTTTTTTACCATGAAACATTTTGAATTTCCACCCGGGCAAACTGAATTATTTACCCAGTCAATCACCGTGCTATGCGGTGCTCTGAATCCCCAAGCAAATTTGTTTTTCAGCCTGGTTGGTGAGCCCTTCCACCCACTGACACTGTCTTTGTTAATAATGGACTTTGCAGTGTAATAGAGCTCTATCCTTCCCACTATGGTTTCCCATTTAGATCCCACATTCTTTGCAGCTATAATGGATTTTGCAGTCTGAGTAGAAAAACATAGCACGTGCTACATGGCTTTGGGGAAAACTATGGCTCCATGTGATGACATCACACTAATAAATATTTTTCCTTAAACAGACTCACTTTTCCCCTCATGGAGTTTACACTTAAATTACATTTCCAGATTGATGGACTACACTTTAAACAGATATGCCCAGCATCATTTTTGGACTTCGACACAAGAGATCTATGGGAAAACTTTAAGAATAAAATATCGTACACAATATGATAAACGTTTTCTCTTCTCCAGGACAATGACGTGAGAATCATTATTGGGCAGTTTGATGAAAACTTGGCCTCCAAAGTCTTCTGCTGTGTAAGTCCTGATCCACCACCAATCACACGTCAAACCTTTGAAATGCACTGTGCTAATGTTGATGTGTTTTTTTTTCAAATATGTTATGAGAAATTAGAACTAGCATACCTCTGTGATTATACAACATATTTGATAAGATGTAATTATTGACTTTTCATGTTTTTCCTCTCAGATGAATTGTCAGTGTTGAATAATTCTTATTACTCAGAGTCAAAACGCTGAAACTCTTATTCAATCTATATTATGTTTCCCAGGCGTTTAACTTGAACATGTTTGGCAGTAAATACCAATGGATTATCCCAGGGTGGTATCAGGGCAACTGGTGGGAACAGGCTAATACAACTAACTGCACCACCAAGAAGCTCCTCACGGCCATGGAAGGGTACATCAGCGTGGACTTTGAGCCGCTGAGCGCCCGGCAGATAAAGGGAATCTCTGGCAGGGTGAGTCTCGATTATTTGTCAAGCCGAAAAGATGCTGTTTAATTGAGTCCTAACCTCTGCTTTCTTTGCAACAAAAAGTTCTGAATAAAAATTGCCGGCTTTTTCAAATCGGCGTCTCTTACTTTCTTACATTGGCGTTATGGCTCGCTTCGTTGACATATACAGGTCAGAATATCACAGGATTGCAAGAAACAGAGATTTTTAAAGTTTGTCATGGTCAAGCAAGATTTGGCATTCATTCTCCTAGGTGTGCCTTAAAGATTTTTTTAGTTTTATTAAATGAATTTAAAATATCAGCTCAAATCAGTATTTCACATTATAATTTCTTTAGAGCAGACATGTTTTTCTAGGGAACAAAAGAATTGTTCAGACTTTTTTTTAAATGAGTTTAACCTCCTCATGATTCCTTTCAGACACCCAAGGAGTATGAGAGGGAGTACAGCCGAGAGCTTCAGCAGAAAGGTGTGGAGGCCAGCAAGTTTCATGGCTTTGCCTACGACGGCATCTGGGTAATTGCTAAAACCCTGACCAGAGTCATGGACCTGCTGCGGATAAAACAAAGGCAAAACCTTTATCAAAACTTCACCGTGGATGACCGAGAAGTGGGGAAAATGGTGCTGGACGTCATGAACGAGACCAACTTCTTCGGGGTGACGGTAAGTTTTGAAGAGGTTTACAGTTTCTGGTGGGAATTCCCTAAAACTGTGCGACTCTCATCCTCTTGAGCCGTTTGAGGATCGATCTCCTCTGTTTTGCTGAAAATGCCACTCCAAAATAAGAGGGCCCAATACTGCTCCCTGCTGCCTCTGGGCATGAAAAGAAAGACTTTAGTTTTATTCTATCATAATCATTCATTCATATTCACCATAGCTTGCAAAAGATGGCCCAAAAATAGTTGGAAAAAAGCTATTCTTCCAGAGACCTTTGTGTTCTATAAATGTATTGATGTCAACAGGGCAAAGGAAGTCAGACAGCAGGACAAAAGAGCCTTTATAAAAATCGGCACAAGCTCCTGCTGTATTATAGCGGAGCCTTTTGTGACTGAGGTCCCGGAGGGTCTGTGTGTGTGTGTGAGTGTGTGTGTGTGTGTGTGTGTGTGTTGGTATCAGCTTGATACCAAATGCTCACTCATGTTTTATCCTTCTGTGCTCACCTCTCTCAGCGTAGATTTCTCAGGGTAGGTGATCAGGAGCAGCTTGGCACTGAGTCTTTCCTCAGGCGCTCAGAGAAACATTGAAAGCAGAAATGGTGACATATGATTACTTTTTTTTTCCAGACACAAAAAAGAAAACAAAGATCTCCTTTGCTGTTAGACTAGTGGGACATATTGTTTGCTTTATATTGCTGGTAAATCAAGTTATCAACAGGAGTCATTATATCTGTGCAACATCACTGAAATGTATGATGATTCAATATCACCTCTCAATAATTAGCTTTATAGCTTTTTTTCCTGGTTTGACAGGATGTGAATTGGTCAATAATCTTTTCCATCTTCTATATTCAGTTCTTATGTTGCAGTTTTGTGTTTAAGATGGAGAAGGCTTGAGTTTGGTTGCTTGTTTGGTTGCTAAAAAGACTGGAGGCAATTAATTTTTGCTGTAAGTCCCTAATGTTCATGGATACTATCCGTAGCTATCGTATTTTTTAGTAAAATGTCAGGCGGTTCTTCCTCATAAACTGATGAAAATACAATAAATTGCAAGAATTATTACAGTGTAAAATTAGTCTCTTACCCAGTGTGTGCATGTGGCCGATCACCAGAATCCAGCATTGACTTTAGCTTCAATACTGTGTCTTTAACAAGTTCTCCGACATGATCTCGTGTGGTTCTGCAGTTTAAATGGACATCTCCATGGTATAAACCCCATCCAGTCTGTACTGATCTCCATCCTGCTGTCGAATCATTAACAATGGTTGTTTCCTGCTGAACCGGCCTTTGTACGGGGGAGATTTGGCCATTTGAGGAGAGTGATCATTGGAGGCTCTGTTTTATCGATCGGGTTGCTGTTAGAGCCACGGAAAAGAAGGCTGCCATTAACCAGGAGACATCTGAGCTATAGAAAGTGTGGATTGCCACCAGAACGACACTATGATAAAGTGGAAAATCAAAAAAGCATGGCATAGAGACACATCAGACTGCTATTGTACTAAGAGAGACTGTAAAGTTTTTTGTTTTTTTCTCTTTATCCGTCGTCATGGTCCTTGTGTTGGTTTTTATTGTTGCTCTGGATAATAGCTAGTGTCAGAGCTCGAGGCACCTGTTTTTTCTCTTTAAGCGTGTGCTTCTTTTTTTTGTGTGTGGGTGCGTGCATCACAGTTGCACTCGCATCATCTGTGTTTCATCTGAAAACCCCCCTCCGAAAACACACAGGGGATGTCACACCTGCAGCCCACAGACTGACATCTCATTTGACCCCGGCTCTTCTGCCACCGACTGCATTCTCACCCTCGCTGACAAAGTGATACCCGGCTGCCTCCATCATCTCGCCTCAGACAGACACCGTCTCAAACAAACACACACACACACACACACACACACACACGGCTCAACACAGTGACTGCAGGCAATCACTTACACGTAACAGAACTCCTCTGAAAAACTAGGAATGGGACGACAACCTCAGCCACTTGAGTAAAAAACAAGGTTTATTGCATTACATACAGTGGGGGAAATGGGTATTTGGCCCCCTTGCTGATTTTGCAGGTTTGCCCACTTACAAAGAATGCTTATTTTTCCTCATCAGATGGTTATCAATTTATATAAATTCATATGATGTGATTTTTCTGGAATTTTCTTTGGGATTCTGTCTTTTACTGTTAGCATGTACGTATGATTAAAGTTATAGATCGTTGCATTCTTTGTAAGTGGGCAAACCTGCAAAATCAGCAAAGGGTCAAATACTTATTTCCCCCACTGTAATTGCATCCATGACACATCGGAGTTACAAAATTATAAAAGCAACCTATATGCCATTTCAATAAGGTTTGTGAGAGTTTCACTTTTGCTGACGCGAAGGGCAATTATCGCATTAAATGCTAATGCTAGGAGAGTGCATGTGTGGTGTCCAGCTGCTCTGGAGACTGGACATACGCTTGGAATCATAACAGCTCCATGCAAGTTCCTTTGTTTCCAGCTCACATTTTTTGACCTGCCTACAGACTTATCTCAATGTTATAGATAATGAGCTGAACTGAGGTATGCAGCGATGTATACTTCGGGCTTAATCGTATAGCATGGCGTAGAAAAGGAACTGTGTGTGTCCAGAAGACCTTGAGACATTTGTTTACAACAAGTAGTAAAGCATGAATACCACATCACCACTGTTAAAGAGGCTGTGGATATCCTCTAACCCCGGAGAGTCTTGCACGTGTATACATTATCTGCAACACATACAGAGTAGGTATGGTGTGGCAACACGTGCAGTGCATACACACCGAGCCACACGCAAACACTCAGACAAACATCAAAGATGTTGCACAAAACATGAAGTGGGATCCTGCTCTGCTACTTCAAAGCTCGCCATCTTTTAAGGGAAAATTAGCACTCCAGCTCCCCAACCTTTCCCCCTCCGGCTAACGTTTAATCAGTATATGCAAACTATATTTCTACCCGTATCCGTCGGTGTGTCTGTCCCTCACCTGTTTTGTTAGCCAACAGCTAATATGTAAACCCGGTTAAATGCGTAATTAAGGAGCTCTGTGAGCAGATGGTGGGCTGAATTAATTGAATAGTCTTGGTAGATGAAGCAGGAGAGAGAGAGATAAAGAGAACATGTGGGAACGAGAAGACAGAAAAAGAGATGGAAAATATGGGTGGAGATAAAGTGACGGAGGCACAATTGATTTGAAAATATCTCCTGATTTTTGCCAAAAGTTGAAGGGTTTTTTTTTTGGTCCTGTATTTGCCAAAGGCTCCAAAGCTAAAATAGCTTTTTTTTTTATTAATTATTTTGCTCCTGTGAAGTTGAAATCACAGACTCTGCAGTTATTTTTGTCCTAATATGGAGAACTAACTCTGCTATAATTAGAATTTAATATGAAAATTACATGGCTAAATATATTACTTAATTTGATGTTAAAGGCCTCTGAAATAAAAAAAAACTCAAGGTTCTTAGAAATCATACAATACAAAAGAGACATAACAACTGCAAAGTAGAAATTAACTGGATTAGAAAGACCACATTAGAAAATTATGGAAATAAAATATCTGATTGGGCTAAATCGATCAATAAACTGTAAAGAGAAGTATTATATATATAGATTCAGTTGTAAAAAAATGAAATATGCTCCATTTAAAATAAACTGGGAAAATATAAAATGAGGGGCAAAGTAAATGAACAGCAACATTAACACAAGCTTACATAAAAGCACCTGGAAATTAAAGCAGAAACTTCTATTTATTTATCATTCTGTTTGGGTATATAGCTTTTTCATTATGTATTTTATATTTTATTTTAATAACATTCATAATTATAGAAACATTTTCCAGCCTTTAATAGTTTTTTTTTTCTATTTCTAATTATGGCAGTTTCTGTCCTCCTTAAAGTATGACCCATATACTTGTTTGTCAAAGTATTAAGATGCAAAAGTTGAAAACTTTCACTGGACAAAATGTGGGACACACTGGATGAACAGTTCTTTAATTGGGGCTTTAAGTACAGCTTGTATCTTCTCTATCTCCAGATATAGCTGAATATCCACAGGATATAGCCCTGTGGATTGGATGTTGTTCTAAGGATATTAGCAAATGAATTGGCTGAAGGATAATTTTGTTTACCTCTATAAACAGATCAATTTTGGCCAGTTCTAATCAAATGAGACGGAGAGTGCCAAGCTGAGACTCCGCCACACTCGCATGCAATTAAATGAAGCCCATGCTTCATTCACTCAACAGTTTTGTGTGCATTTGTTGCAAAAAGCAATTCTTTCTGTACCCAGTATGACTTATCAAACATTTTTTTGTCTTTATTTTTCAGGGTCAAGTCATGTTTCGTAATGGAGAGAGGATGGGAACAATAAAATTCAACCAGTTTCAAGGTACTTGTTTCCACTGTTTTGAATTAATGTGACTTTCTTCATAATCAGCATTACATATAAGAGGCAACATTTAAATTGTTTTCTATCTCAGTCATTTGGGAAATAAAAACGAAAGTATCACACTGTAACTGTATATCTTGTGCTCTCTTCATGTAGCGTGTGATACTCACTTTTAACTGTTTGCTGTTGTTCTTGAGCTGATGTTTATTGTCACGTGTGTTTATTAAGGCTTGGAGGTCTTTAAGAAATTTCATACATTATCACATCTGACTGGCATACGGTTCCAAAGGGGGTTTAAGGAATGCTAAAGAGTTTGACTCCTTAGAAAATCAAGTGTTTCATATTTTAGAGGTATCATACTTTTTATCATTTTTTCATGATTTATATATTTTTCTGGGCACTTTGATGGAAGTAAAAGCTGTTATTCTGTACAGTTTCTGTTGTTAGTAAGGAAAACCTCCACAATCCTGTCTGTATAGAGCCAAACTTGTTTAAATGAATGCGCTCAACATCATCTGTGGCTGTAAAATGTATTTATGACACCTGAAAACGCCGGTTATCCGCATACAACGACGTCATTGCATGGCTTTTTTAAGCCAGCGGGACCTCCTGAGAATAACCCAGAGATTGCATCTTGATGCAGGGGATTCCCAGTCCCAAGGCATCCCAGATTGTGTGCTGCACAGCAGCATGGTGCTGTTCAACCCTCACAGCCCGGCCATCTTATCTGCCCGGCTGCAGAGGAACTTCATCCCTCTGGCACTTTCTGTCCCACTTAGCATGTGGATTGTAAACATATTTGGGACAGTAGTGATGTGTGGGTAGAATAGAAACTCTGTTCCCATCATGTTCCCCAACCAGATCCAGTCCAAAATGACCGTTCTTGCTTCGGCCCACCTGAATGATAACTGCAACAGCTCTACAATAGGTTATCTTCTCACCCCGTCTCAAAACTACAATCGTTTTTACAGGCTAAGCTGCACTCAGATGCTAAGCTGCTTATATTTTTCTAGCTTAGTCTTAACAGAGGAGCAGTTAATCATAAAGCTCAGAGTGAAGAAAGGTCATACATTTAAGCGTAGTGGACCAGTGACCATAGATTAGACCGTAAGATGGACAGTCTCACTGTGAGGTTTTGTTGACTGTCATTTGTGAGTAGCGGTCATCGCTATGGTTACTGTCTTTGGGCCAGTTGGAACCACATTTGAGTGTGTTGTACGGACAAATGTTTTCGCTCTTGAGAATGTAAGAAATTTTTTTAAGATAGAAATATTTTAAGAAGGACTACAAGCATTTTCTTTAAGTCACTGAAGTTTGAAAAAAGGATTTGAGCTGGCATTGGTATTAGAGTTTAAGGACTTTCTTAATTGCTCCTAAGTAACTGTATAAGTCTTTAATAGCCATTCTTTGGATCATGTGGAGCTGTGAATTTGTGTACAGTTAAAATTAACCATTTGGCTGAGAAAAGATCTGGTCATAAGTGTAAATTAGGAGGTGGGAGCATAGGATAGACAGGTAAAGAAATTATCAGTGAAAATATTTATAGTTCCACTTTCTCCTGAAATGGAACAAAAGAATAGCATCATCAACACTATTGAGCTTATTAAATCACGACACATTGTTTTTTATCATATCTCCGACTTAACTGTCTTTAAATTGAACCGACACTAGCGTATGCTTCTCTTTCATCAAATCCTCCATTTATAGGACTCTCCTCCTTCATCTCGACCCAACCCTCACCTCTTTTTCACTTGTCAGTGATTGTGGATTTGTCACCCTTTAGACACACCACACAAGAGCCCGAGAGGAAAAGAGGGGCAGCCCCATCTTGAATATTTCAAAAGGGAGGGGTCCTCACCACAACCCTATCATCTTTACACAGCTTCTTATCCTGCATTTGATCCTGTCAGACTTTTTTAGTCAGGGTCCTCCGTGACTCTTATTCCCCCTTTTCTCTCAAGGGAATGAGAGATAATTCAGAAGCAGAGGTCATGATTGCAGTCACAGTCAGTCAGATTTTAAAATCAACACCATCAGGCTTTGCAGATAAGGAAACGAGGCCTTTATCATTCTGGGAGGAGAAGACGTTTGATAATGTATTAACTTTAAGGTGAAGCGCAATATCTGTGTTGGTAAAGAAGTTTAAGATCTCAGCAGGAATAGGATGCACAACACACAGCTTTAAGTAGTCATTCATTCCATGCTTTTCCATCGTCTTCTGCTGGAATTTGAATAGCAACACCCCTGCTGCTGCCCATATGCTTTGAGGCAATAGTAATCTCCCAGGGCTGTCAACCCCAACAGCTCCAAGGATTATCATTGAACTTTACCCACAATGTTTTTTTTGAAAAAGCCATTTTTATGTTATTATGTGGCACACAAACTTGTCCCCACAGAAAAAAAAAACTCCAAATAGGCTTTTCACCTTTACAATCACGGCTGATGGTAAGACTTGAATTAAAAGACGGTACCGCTCTTGCTCCTTGTTTTTTTAAGATAAAAAAAAGGAAAATTCCGATTCCTTTATGCGTTTGTTACAGCAGCATGGATTTTCAAGAGGGATTCACATCTGCCGACTGAAATGATCACTCAATGACATTCCAAGAACGATTTCTGATCCAATCTTTTGTTGACTCAGGCATACCTTTGCCCTGTTGCCGGTCTGATGTAAAAGCTTCAATGAGTGCATTACGTTCAGCTGGTATTTGAAAAACTCTGCTATGTGATGGATTCTCAGTCACATCTTCGTAAACCTTCATCTTTGCCTGACTTTTTCCTCCTCCCTGTCATTGGGCTCCCTTCTTCTTGCGTCAGACATATATGTCAACTGGCTGTTTGTTACCCTGACAGGTTTTATGGTCACATTTGAAATGCAGCAGGCTTTCACCTTATAGATAAAAAGTCTTCTTACCGTCCGTTTGGATGCTTGTGTTCCTGTCTTTGACAGTTATACAAGGCACCTTCAGAGATTTAGTTTTAAACCACCCCATTCTTCTCTTTTGAGGCATGCTTTGATGTAACACAATACGTTTTAAATTTTCATCCACATCTTCAAGATAGCTCTCGTGTAATAGGGATCGGTTCAATATCCGGGGCTACTCAGCTCCCAAGAGTTGAGTTATTGATTAAAACAGAGCTGTTAATGGTGTCAGCATATTCTTTATGCGGAACAAGTATGACTTTAACAAAAGAAAAAGATAAAAACATCAACAGTGATTGGTCCCAGAAAGGTGAAGGGGCATAAATCCCAATTTACGTGTGTGTGTTTGCCAATGGAAATAACACTGTTTAATATCGAGTGATGTTCATGTGATGATGGAAGGGTGCAGAGAAACTTTTACATGCACACGAGAACAAATTCCAGGCTGAGTTTAATGCTTAAAAAAAAGCTCTCTAAACTATGAGGGTACAATCTCTGTGAGCAAAAGGCGAGCTTTGTTTGACGAGGTCACGATTCTTTGAGGGACTCCTTGCTGTTTCAGAAAGAGTAAAGCAATCTCTGATATTCAAGTGTTTAGGGAGCTCCAAAGAAACAGTATTATTTTACACTGTTAAATAACTGAAAATAGTAACTGAGATTTTATAAATCAGGACAATCACTTCCTGCCCATTTTAGATACAGATGACAACTATCATTTTAGAACACTAAATGGTCATTGTTATCAATGTCAAGATGATTGGAGCTTATTAAAACAGATAAAACGGAGGTTTTTAAAGTCTTCAATAAGATTCGTAAAGCTGCAGTAAAACAGTAAATTACTGTTTGAATTGTTCGACCAAAGTAACATCTTTCATAATTTCTTCAAGCAAGAGATCAGCACTGAAATTTTAAGCTGCTTTGTATTCATTATTTTAGCACCTCCTTACATAATGAAAGATCCCTTCCAGTTCTACTCAATGATGGATTAAAGCTCCTCTTGGAGAGATAACAGATCTTTTTTTTTCCAACATAAAACTGTTCAATGAACCGGCAATAACAATTCATAAAAGAACATTTTCCTCCCCGGGTCGACCAAGAAATGGCAAAAAATATTCCTACATTTAATAAAATCGGACCACTCTGTGGAAACTCTTGTCTGTCAGCTATAAGTCAATTTTCTTCATTGTGGAGGTTTTCTGTTTTTAAAGCTTTCTTACATTTCCATGAAGGTTTACTGGTGTTTTCCAACAACTGAAGCCACACACACACCAGCATACTTAGAATGGGAGAATTTTTGGCCATTAACTATATCCATTATTTTACTGCCTTAATGTGTACACCAGACATTTATGGTCTTTAACAAGTATTTTTCATCGTTAATGTTTAACTCTGACAGTTTAAGTACATACCTTCATAATGTGGGCATATTTGTGTTTTTTTTTCTTTCCACAGAGGGTCGAGAGGTGAAAGTGGGCGAGTACAATGCAATAGCTGATGTGCTGGAGCTCAACAACAGCTATATCAGGTTCCAAGGTATGACAAAGTGGTAAATCCTTTATGGGTATAAACAGTGTGATTAAAATCGGGGTCTGGCTACAACAAAGACTAGACACTCCACAATAGAAAGAATTTGTTGAATTTTTTGTTTTATGCCATCGCTGCTCTATTGATATGGAGAGACAGCACACACCAATCTTTCAACACCATTCTTTAATTGTGTTAACGTGCAACCACAAATCCTTCATAACGTTGGAGGTTCAAACTAACAAGCTTCAATAACGCATGACTGATTGTGTATCATCCTGAATTACTATTCATCATAGCTATTATTTTGTAAGGTAAAGCGAGACTATGGTGAAATGTGACTTTCAAGAACCATAATCAAAAATAAAGACAAAAAAAATCTGTTTTTAATATTTCTTTGGACCGGCTTAGCTTGAACTGATGAAGCACTGCTTCATTCAGCTGGTTTGTTCGTTAGTAGTATATGCATTACAGTTTTATTATAAATAAAAGCTTACGTTGTAGGTCTGGCTTAGTATAAGAGTTTACCTCCAATTTTGGTTTAGGAATGACAGCACAAAAAACTGACACAGATAACACACATTGAGCTAAAATAACTAGAATATGTCTAAAATATGTCTAAATATTTGTGGGCCACACCTAAGACTCAAATCTAACATTATAATACTCCCCTGTCTTGTCCATTCTCCCTCTTGAACCTAAACTCTCTAAAACATACACATACTCATTAAAATGACCCCCCAGTGTAGAGACTCACCACTGTAGACTGTAACTCAGCTAAATTATTTACCAGTCCCCCTTTAACTTCTCCTAGGCTTTCCTTTGCTGACGTATTTTGTCATTTGTTTGATCCCCTCGGCTATTGTCACTGCTCACACTCCAGCTCCTCTACTCTGCCCCACAAACACAGTCTTTGAAAACAAAAGCTTGTGTCCACATCCCTGACCACACTAAGTGAGGCGCTGTAAAGTGATGCCATTGCATCGATTGGCACGCCAGGTGAAGAACAATTGAGCAAATGATAAGTAAAGACTGGATGAGACCACAGTAACTTGATTGTAGCACATAGAAAAACACTGACACAACTGGGACCCAGCAAATAGATCTCAGATAGCTGAATATTTATTGTAGAATCCCCATTATTAGTGTGGCTGACTGTGTAAACTGAGAAATCGAACTGAGGAAAAGCCGCAGTTATGCAGAAAAAAAGATTTTATAGATAATGATATGCAGCATATTTTTAATTCTGGTTTCCCTCGCCTGTCTCATAGGTGTAGAGCCACCCAAGGATCGCACATTTGTGCGTTTGCAACGACGCCACATTAATGTGCCACTCTACAGCATCCTGTCTACCATCACCATACTGGGAATGCTCATGGCTGGGGCCTTCCTCTTCTTCAATATCAAAAACCGAAACCACAGGTTAGTATCTGCCATTGGTGAAGAATAAATGATAATAATTGTGCAGAAGAAGAATGTGCATTAGGTTTTTTGGTGTGAAGTGAGAAGAAGTCAGTGAATGTGAAAAAAATCAGTAGATTCAGATGTGAATCATTTTGACATGAGAATAGTTTTTACTGACATTTCTTCTACGAAATACATTTTTATTGTTGCTTTTTTTTTAAACTAACTTTTTAGAATGTTCATCTTTCCATTCCTCTCTTTCAGACTTATCAAGATGTCCAGTCCATACATGAATAATCTAATCATTTTAGGAGGCATGCTCTCATATGCCTCCATCTTCCTCTTTGGCCTGGATGGAGGTTTTGTTTCTGACAAGGAGTTTGAGACCCTTTGCACTGTAAGTCCTTTCAACCTTTTTCAATGAAAAGATAAAATACAGAAAGCCAACGCTAACATATTCAGAACTAATAGTGCAATCAAGCCTACTTTATCAGTTTAATGGATCACACACAAATACAGACAGACACTGACAGTATTCCACATATTTGATTTCTAAAATTGACTTCAAGTCTTTTTGCATTTCTCTTCATTTATGTATGTAAAATCAGCTAAATATGGAGAGTAATGACAGTCCTCTCTCATGTACTTTACGATCAAAACTGATTGATGGAATCTCTCTGCGGGTCTTTAGCTAGAACTGAACACATAAGGTGTCTCCCCCCTAGGTAACATTACTTTGTGACTGCGTGAACACAGGATTAATTAAAGAGTTTTGATCACAGTAATGGATGGTCTCCACTGAGAGATCAACTCCAGCAGATACAGAGACACACACGTGCACATGCGTGCCAAAGGGATGTCAGACTGGGGCCAAATTTAGTTATTCCCTTAAAGCTTTGCCGCAAACCAAAACGGAGCTTGTCAATTCAGATGAAATTCTACAGCAAAGTAGAACAAAGTTGATCCCTTTAGTATCATAAAGACAGGCCCAGCTGTAAGTGGGAACATCACATATGGACAGGGCCTGCATATGTGGTGTAGAAAGAGTTTACTCAGAGATAATTATTCAAAACGCTTTATTTATATGCAGCAGGTAACACAGAGACAAGCAACTGTACAGCCATTAATGGGATTAATAGTAGTATGTTGCTATATTTGGTTTCTTTCAGTTACAATCTAATTTTTTGTTATTTTAAAAGCGCTAACACTGCCAAAAGCTAAAGAAAAAAATTGTGATGAAGATGAAATGCTCTTAGGACTGTGACAGCCTCGTGCTCCATTATGTTCTCTCCGTGCCGTTGGAGACAGAGAATAAATCTGACAGCCTCTTATTTTTAGATTGTCTCACAATGCCAGTCGGACTGAAGTTATCATGTAGATGGCTGTCAGATTAAATGTCGGGCTTAACCTTGATCATCACTTTATGACACGACGCAATTATGTGTGTTCTTGTTGTTCTGTCAGGTCCGGACGTGGATTCTCATCGTCGGATACACGACAGCTTTTGGGGCCATGTTTGCCAAAACCTGGAGGGTGCACGCTATCTTCAAGAATGTGAAGATGAAGAAGAAGGTACATAAAACACTTTAACACTCGGTCATTAATAAATAATTTAGAAAATAGCTTGATTTGTTTTTCTTTTGTCTAATAATGCTTTTAATCTCTGTCTTTAACATTTTCTATACTCTGTTTTTTCGACAACCAACCCAGGCGTTTATTCTCTTTGCGCAAGTGCTTTAAAAATGTACTCACTCAAACTGAACAGATAGGTGCATCCTGCTGTATTGTACCGTATATTAATGTATCTACAGCATACCGGGCCGCTGAGGCTTGAAAAACATGGCAGGCTAACCTCGCCATAACAGCTCAGTTGGGTTTGTTTGTTTAACGGGATGGAAAAACACATAATTAACACCACACCCACGACCACTGTCACTGTTCGCTTTTACCATGAAACTCACCAATACATTTTGGCACATAAAATGAACTAAACAGCGACTTAAAACACAAAATGGAAGCCCGGAGTGTGCAAACAGGTCAGGCTGCAGCTGGAATTGGTCACTACTGCTTGCTGAATATACTCTTGTTTCCCTAGATGGACCTCAACATTTGTTAAATTTGACTCTTTAATTAAAGAATATAACCATTACTTAACTTTACCACAAGCCTGTCCATTGGCCCATGTCAGATATACCGTATTTTCCGGATTATAAGACGCACCTCCAATGAATGACCTATTTTAAAACTTTTAAAAAATCATAAGGCGCATATAATAGACGCTACAGTAGAGGCGCACTGGAATATAAGGCGCACTGTCGGCTTTTGAGATAATTTGAGTTTTTAGGTGCGCCTTATAGTGCGGAAAATACTGTACATGGTCTTTTTTTTTTTTTTTTTAATTTATTTTTTAAAGATATACATGGTCTTATCCACAAGACTGGCCTGTCTTATGAAACCCCGGTGCTGGTGTGTGGGTGATTGCGTTCAAACTCGTGCATGAAAGACCAGAAGGCCCTGGCACCTGCTTTTAAAATCCTTTCCAAGAAAAAAAAAATTCTAGAACTACAAATGGTTTTTTAAACATCTGACGCAATCTGTTTCATTGGCATATAGAGAGGTGCTCTCTGTGTGTTGTAACTGTGCTCGGCCTCTTTGTATTTATAGATCTTACTCTCTGCCCCTCCATTTTTTTTCCTTTCTATCTTACCCTCTTTCATATTAGAGGAAGTGTGGGTGGCCTGCCATAAAGCGGGAGAAGAATGAAGAAAGAGGGATGGTTGAAAGAGTTTAAGATTTGGATGGGTGTTGGGAAATAATGGTGGGAATAATGGAAAGACAGAAGCAAAAGCAGGGCAGAGAAAGAGACAAGATAAAGACGGTGTTCTCTGTTAATAAAATTAGGTTTGACACTAAGAAAAAAATAAGGCAAAGCTTGGAAAAGGTGGTTAATAGAGATTAACTAAATCCAGATTACAAGTTATAATAGAATAACAAGCAATGACGGCTTTTTAGTTTTTACAGCAATTTAAAATATCAGAAAAAACTCATTTTTATATTTTTTTAATTCATTGTGCTTTTCAAACTACTAACCCTATAATGCCAAATGTATCATATTTGATACATACGTTTTCTGAAATGTTTTGCGTCTGACACCTTTTGCATAATTTAATGGTAAAAACTTTGCTCAAAGTCCTATAGTACACAATCATATATACCTGATAACAGGGGCACAAAACTACACAAAAAATAATCTTGACTTATCGCATAGTAATAAATTATTAATAAATAATGTTTTTTCTTTTTACATATTTTCTTAAAAGGCCAAATAAGTTATTCAAACCAAAAAATAGTCATTTTCTCTTTTGTTTTATTCTTGGATCAGGCTTTAAAGGGTTCATCTTTGGTAACAAAATAATCGTTTAATTGACTTTTGGCTGATAATTACCTCAGGTCAGTTCGCCCCTTCTGACCCTTTTTCATTTGCTATCTAAATACAGAGCAAGCAGTCCTCAGTTGTGCTACATATTTCAGCTTTTTAACCCTGGAGATGTGCTTTCTGTTGGCTCGGGGCCTGGATCTGTGTGCAGGACACGCACACAAAGCCCACTGATTGAGTGCGGGTGCTGACCGATGGCTGCTGCTGGTGCCCTGACCGCTGTCAGGAGGGGGACGGACACAAGTGTTGCCCATCTCTTCTTCAAACCGCGGGACTGCAAACTGCATCCTGCCGCGCTTCCTCGGCCTTCCCCTCGTTTATTTCTTTCTGTACGCCGGGACAGCAGAGATTTTAAATCAAGGGCGAGCTCGATAAGGGGTTCCACTCGGTGGGCCACAGTGGGCAGTCCTTCACTTCTTAAAAAGCTCAGTGTCAGAGGGGGGAGGGGGTGCAATCAATGTCCTCTCTCCAAACACACACACACCAATGCGAGACACAGACACAGATAAACACACACACACCGAGAAAAATCACCTGTGCACACTCCATCAAGCCGGTCAGTGTGGCGGCTACTTATCAATCTGCCCGTCCTGGTAATTTACCGAGTTCCCCGTCGGGACAATTTGCAGCCCGCATTAATACACGTGCCCGCACACTCACAGAGGAACCAGGAAAATCCAGTGATTTACATGAGCACGCCATGTTTTCTCTTTGGATGTAAAAAACAGGTTGATGGAAACGTTTAAAAAGCGTTTAAGCTTAATAAATGAGGTTTATTGATTCGACGATACAGCTGAGAAAACTGAAGCGGCTTCGGCAAATCAACGGAGTGACCGAGGTGACACTTCTCTGCTTCAGCTCCAGCTGGACGAACATCAGCTGCTGCCCATCGGCTGACCCCTGATAGACAAATCATTTCACATATTATGTGGCAAATTATGTGAAAATGATTATCAAAAAGTTCCCACAGGTTCGAATTGAAAAAAATAACTTAATCTGAGTTTCTTCGCGTGGCTAAGTGTACAATAAAAGCCATAATCATGAAAATGATTATCAAAAAGTTTCCAAAGGTTCGAATGGCAGTATAGCTTAAGATTGTGAACACAAGTTAAAAGATTCCTAAAGTTGTAAAGCAGCTCTGTGCAGATTTCTGGCACCAAAAATAACTTAATCTGAGTTTATCTGCATTGCTAAGTGTACAATAAAAGCCATAAGCATTCATTCAGACACTATTTTATATACATTAAGCTCTTTTCCCCCATTATTAAGATATTAAATGAACTTTTTTGCATTCAGTATCTTTCCCAATGTGACTGACATGTATTTTGACCTATATACTGTATATACATATAGTTTTTTATGTATATATCTATCTATATTATATGATGAATTTAGTATATATATATATATATGTATATATGTACAGACATGTATATATGTATAGGCCGTTGTTTTATTTATGGAGCCAGTAACGAAAATAATTTCCCTCTGGGATTATTAAAGTATTTCTGATTCTGATTCTGATTCTGATGTATTTAGGAAAAGCAAGGGATCAAATCTCCATCCCTCTGATTTGTGAAAGACATTTTTTTCCTGCCTGAATCACAGCCGGCCCTGATCACCGACGTAATTTGTTTTACATGGAATGTTCTTTGTCTTGAGTCCGTATTAACTCGGTGCCAGCATCATCAAAAGTCAGAACATCAAAAAAACGCTCCCCTCGGGTGGCTCGCTGTGAGCCCGCTGGGAGGCGATGGGGGGGTTATGGACACCTGTGGGAGCTCCATTAGGGGGAACGCGATGGTCTCCAAACAGAGCCGGCCCTGTGTTCCCTGACCTTTGCTTTGATCCGTGGATCCGCACGGTCGAGCGCTATTTAAAAAAAAATCAAGATCACAAACGGGTCTGGACTTTCATCCCCTCCAAAGTTCAAGGTACAAAAAGGGAGCTTTCATTGTGGACGACGTTCGGTTTGGTTTGGTGGATCTCTTCCGAAAAAGTTCTGTGACATGTGCTGCCTCCAATTCTGCATGATATACTCTTTTATATGGAAGTGAATTGTTGTAAATGAATCTCTGATCAGCCGGAATGAAAGCAATATGCTTATTAACGTGGTATTACAGCGATTTAGGTCTAATAGTTATATTTGCCAATACAATTGTTTTTCCAATTACCTTTAGATCCTAAATGGTGACATTTGTATCAGCAGGTGTGGAGATGTTTGCCTAATAGGAGCGTCTCATCTTCCCCTTATTCTCCAGATCATAAAGGACCAGAAGCTGTTGATTATCGTTGGCGGGATGCTGCTAATCGACTTATGCATTCTCATCTGCTGGCAGATTGTGGATCCGCTAAGAAGGACTGTGGAAGAATACAGCTTGGAGGTGAGCGTTCATTTGGTATTTTTCCAATGTTGCCTCAATTTGTGCTCCATTATGGCGTTTTATTAAACCAACACGAAAAGTCGGAAGTGGGAGGATTCCGGTTATTAAGAATCTTGATAGAAATCCCTGTTTTAGAATAGAATGTCTGCTTTAAGCTTTCGCACGTGTCTTTGTTGAGCTGGTTATTTTTGGGTCGGGATGTGAGCCATTGCCACCTGCCACCCGTTGCCGGACATTTGCCAACTTGGATGGGAAATATTGGCAATGCTGACTGGAAAAGAGATGCTTGGCATAAAATGGTCAGGGCTGGAGAGGTCACCTAATGTTGAACAGATATTAACGCTTATATGCTGCTAGTGGTAAGAGTGGAATGTGATTTTTTAAAAACTGATATTGGATTACTCTGGCTTTGGCCCCTGGAGGCTAAACTCTGTCCACTGGAGCTGTGGCATGAGAGGATGATGCAGTTCAAGTGTGTTTTCAGCACACATCTTTGTAATAATAAGGTCACGTTGGTTAAAGGGAGACTGAGACTCAAGTCTATTCTTTTTTCCTAATGATTCAGTTGAATAAATTTCATGCATCGTGGTTTTGTTGCAACACAGCTGCATTTCTAGATTGTGTGAGTGCTTTTAGTTGAGTGTCGGTTTATGTAGCTATTGTGTGGAAAGTCCACGTTTATACATAAAAATATAAAGATAAAGAGCTGGATTATCTTTTTTTCTCTATTTATGTTTTCTCTAAATGCTCCAAAATCGTCCTTAATTCCTAAATCATCTTCATGTGGTTTAACGTGCAAATGGCTGTGAGTCCTGTCCCCAAATGTTTTGAATGTTCTTAATCTGATCATTTTAGTCAGCGTTGTGTGCATGAGTAAGCATTCTGGTGCCGAGATCAAGCAGTACTGCTGTGTCAAACCAAAACACTCTCAAGTCGAGTCGGAACTGCTCGCAGTTAATTGCACACTGTGGTTGATTTGGCATATGACTGGCTTTGTCGAAACAATAAATAGATGGAGCTGTTCGCAGACTTTTCTGCTCTGTGCAGCTTCTGAGTGGTGGATGGATGTTTTTTTTCTCTTCCTTTCTGTCTAGACGAGTGACTCAGTGGCACAGCGGAGATTGTATTTACTTAATTTTGACTTCAAGAAATGACAAGGAGGAGACATTATCCCTCTTCAGTTCAGATTAGATCATCTCTTTAAATACAGACGAAGATTTGTAAGTACTACTGAATGGAGGTTTTCCTTAGTGGGTCGTTTCTCAGGTTTTGCATTAGTATGGAGTTCAGAGTGGTTAACAGCCTCTCAGGAACTCCTCATGAACTGTGGCCATTAGTGGAACCTCAATCTGTTGACCTCAACAAAGGTAAAAAGAGAGTCTGGGAGAGGACCAGGGGATTGGATTTGATTGGGTGAAAATTCTTCTGATAATTCCTGATGGATCTTCTTCTCAGCTTAATGAAAATCTTGTTGAAAACATTAAAGTGGGACTTCTCTGACTATATATAAGTCTGCCAAAGAGGTGCAGCAATGCCTTGCTCAACATATTCACGGCACTTTGGTCCTTGTGGAGTGTTTTTTTTTTTACTCTAAGCCCTGGGCCAAGAGAGTATTTGGAATATATAAACCGCTGAGAGTTGGAGTCTGCATTCTCCCTGTGGATTTGGACCCGCATGCCCGATCTGAGGTAGAGGGAAAGGCTCCACGTGCCTTTCCAGCTTGCTAGATTCCCAGGACCAGCAGCGATGGACCCGTGGGGCTGAGCTAGTGGGAGACAGCCTGGAGCTCCTCTGTGTTCCAGCCTGCCGGCCGGTCAGGAGGGACCAGGAACCAGAAGGCAACCGAAAATCCAAGCCTTTATTTAAGATAACAAGATACTTACAAAATAAGAATATTGGATTATTCTCAGACAGAGGTGTTTGAAACATATTTAGATATATACATACACACACACACACACACAAATATAAATATACTGTGTTAATCTGTGATTTTTTTTCATGGGAAAGAACCTCTGCTGTGCCACCTTTTCGGAAAAGCTAAGCCTTGCTTGTGGATTTGGGGGAAATAAATTGCTTGGATGGAGTGTAATTACTTTTACCCAAGTGCTGCACTATAGTAAAAAAGTGTACAAAAAAAGTTTACATTTATCAATGATGGATAAAAATGAGTAAAGGTTTGAGTATAATTAAATTGATTTTATGCGATATTTGTTGCTAACTTAAGTCACTGTTTGAATAAATGTCAGGGTTTCATCTTTCTTTCTTTCCTTTAATGGATTTAAACCTTTAAAGATTGGGACATAAAAAGACTGGACAACTCTCAAATTAATCTATAAAATTCAATCTAACACAATCTACAGTCATACTTTTTCTGAGTAATTTTGCAGCGTAGTTTTCTATGTATGTTAGTGTTTGTGTTGTTTTTGCACATTTACATGTACATAATCCTTTAAATTATTTTTACACGGTAAACAAATTGAGGAGGTGGCTACTTCCTCGGGGGCCTGATAGACTAGCTCTGACTGACTTATTGTAATAACAGACCCTTAGTTTCCCAGTTTCTTGTAAGCTATCACATATTACAAGGCCAACATCCCCGGTGTCTTCACTTCTGTCTGTTTTCTTCTATTTTTTTTCTCATCGTCTCCTTCACTCTCTCTCTATCTTAGTCAGGATCTCTCCTGTTCTCCTCTCACATTTCCCCACTGTGGAGAATTGGGAGTTGACCGTAGGTTCACAAGTCTGTGTGTGTCTGCTGCACCCGAAAGTCTGCAGTACGACAATGCAGTGGTTCTGAAGTGTCACAGTGGACTGTTCCATCACAATTGTTGTTTGCACCACCTCACAAGACACTTTCCTTATTGATTCAGGACTAACAAGGGTACTTAATTACACAAATGATAGTTTTTTTTTAGTGTGGAGTCAGGAATGTCCACCACTTTTGTTTTTTTTTAGTAAGATCAGGATACAAATGACATGATTTATCCCATAGGAACATAGGACAAGTAATTCAAGAGTATCTCTTTGTTTTTAATCCAGCAGTCTAAGCCTAATTACATATCATCAGCAAAACTGGAACATTCCCCTTGGCATCTTTTATTAGCATTAAGAAGTAGATTGAACCGGAGAGGTTGACAGCAGACCTGTGTGGAATGCTTCAAATGACATGAGTGATGTCATGTTCTCACAAATAAAATTCAAATAGGTCCAGAGATCATGTGGACCATTAGGTGTTTGATGGGAGAATGAGCCCTGAGTTGCGTTTTATAGCTGCACTTCAAACCTGCATTTTTAATCACCGTCGTAGACGGTGTCCTTTCACCAGACATCACTCGTAACCTTGCCATAGTCCCCAACCTTTTCAGACATCTAATCTGTGTTTCTCTCACTACCACACACAAACAGCACTCCCCAACATTCTGAAATAAATAACAAATGCTAAGAAGATGCTAAGATGACAGCATCTCCTGTCAGCACATGTAAAATTACATATCACTGTCTCTCTTGACTGGAGAGCTTTCTAAAAAAACGGGAATCATTCAGGCTGCTCCAGAAACTTCCCAGGAATGCTAATGGACGGATTGGACTACACTGAGCAATTAGATCCATTTTGTGTCTCTTTAATAATTGAACATTTGCTAATGGGCTTCTGGCTGCCACCAGATTAAGCCTCGCAGAACAGACACGTGTTATTTTGTCGAAGAAACGCACGTGTTGAAGTGTAGCGAATTCAATTTCCCGACCTGTTTTACAGAATTTGAAACATCCCCCTACTCACGCATTGGCGTATTTTGGATGTACGCCTGTGTGTTTACCTATGCATTAACGCATTCCCCCTCGTGGTCCTCGGCATTGACTCTTGCATAATGAAGGACGAAACCATCGGGTCGGGATGATTAGCATTCTGTGGGATTCTGCCGCAGACTCCCACCGCTGTGGTCCCTCCTCGTCACTGTCCCCCGCGTCACTCCTCCACGGCTCGGAAGCTGCTGCAGCCACCAATATTGCAGTGTGGCGTCGCCGTGGCAACGGCCGTGGTTTTTTTCTGACACTCGCGACGCAAAGAGCGCCGCTGTGGATTCACGAAAACAAAAGTAACGGGTCGAGGCAAACCACTTCAGTGTGGCCACAGATGAAGAGAAGATCCTGAGCATTCAGAACTGTTTGCACTGAACCGATGGATAAACAGTTATTCACCGGAGCAGGTCTATATATGCAGAGGCATTTTCAGTATGCAGGCTTATTTTCATCTAAACTCGGAGAATATGCTGCCCCCACCTGTATGCAGACAGTTTCTGGAAGAAGAGACAATGCACTTACCTGTTCCTAATATCATTTCTCGAGAGTAGACTGCCTAAGCATGACTCACTACTCACATTTTAAAGGGGATATTTTCCTCTATGCGGAGTGGAAAATATCAAGGTAAATAGCATTCTCATTTAAAGTAGTGAGAGATTCAGCCAAGAACCTCACTTTTTTCAGGCTGAGCAAAGAGGTCAGCGGTGAGATTTACCGCTAATGTGAGCTGAGTTTAAAGGGCACTCCTGGGGTCTTTGCAATTTGGCCTTGACATAAATTTCTAGATTATTTTTTTTTTTTCTCATACAATTTCCCAGCATTTCCACTTGCGGAGATAGGACAAAAAACATGTGCTCTTAAAACATTTGCATGAGACCTGACAGCCCGTGGGGAGCAGATGAAACAACAACAGATTCACACCTGTTTTCATTCCTCTTTAATCATGACATCTGACCAATTTGAGAGCCAACACCTGTTATCAACGAGGGTCCACATTTTAGTCTCACTCCATACACCGCTCCCGGCGTGGTGTGCTCAGTGATGGCCGACTGGCTGTCCACTCTTGACCTAACTTGTTTCCATTATTCAGCTTCATTGCTTACAACCACATGTGGAGTATCAATGTGGCCGGTCACACGTGATCTAAAGCTTCGTACTTACATTTGTAATTCATAGAAGTTTATTTTAAGTGGCTTTTGATTACTATCTTTGCCCCTGTTATAACTGACCACCAACCTTCTGTGCTGGTGTTGTTACTATTTACCAAATTCCCCCACAGACTTGCTTATCCATTCTTGGTTTCATTCATTGCAAATTTTTTCTCCACTATTTTTTTAATTTTACTTTTCATTTTAGACCCTTAAGCTTTACTCTTTATTTCAATCCTGTTTTGTTTTTTTTCGTTTGGTCAACCTTTATCCCTTTGGGGGGGAAAAAGTTGGTCTCATGAGTTTTTTCTAATGAGTATTTTTCCTTAAATTACTTGACAGCTAACTAGAATTATTTTTTATAATTCTGCCCCTTTTTAAAAAAAATTAATTACTTTTTAGGTCGATGATAAGGTATGCAGTTATTGTTCCTTGAATGGGATTGTACAGAAGTCAAGGTCAATTAGGCTCAATGTTTTTAAGATAAAACGGATTATCATGAACTAATTATAGTTTCCTGCTTTTTATTGCTATGTCAATATTGTATTCCTGTTTTTAAATTTCGTTTTTTTACTCTCACGCAGTCTGTACCTGTCCTGTTGTCTCTCCCCCCCCACGCTTTCAACCCTCCTGAGGAGTTCTGTTTGCATTTTATGTATTTCAGTTGACATTAAATATCAAGATGGTTTTCTAAAGGAAATTTCATTGGTGCTTGTTTTAAAAAAAAAACATTGAAATGAAATTCAGCCCAGAGTCCGACATTCAGTTTTGGATTGTACAAACATTTATTCTGGAGGATTCATATTCACAGCGAACGTGACTATGATTTGTTATGACAAATACTGAACTCGTTCAGTATTTATTCCGCAGAATGGAGAACAATGTCATCTGCAGCGTTATCTTTGCAGCACCGGAGCTAAGGCGCTGTTAAGATGGGCTTTGAGGCTTTCTTTGTTAGCCTGAAAGTAAAGCACTGACGGAGATCAATGTCTATTCAAAGTAAACTGGGTCATTAATGGATAACCACCACCCACCTAGGCCTCATCAAATCGACCATGTCTGGAGGGAAGAGGGATTGTAGGCGAAGAACAAAAGTGAAGGGTACACAGACCTCACACATTCTTGAAGATTTGTATGCCTGTCAGTGTATAAGACCCGGCCCGTGTGCTTTGGTAAATTACAGTAAGGTATTGTGACTGCCTTTGCTACATAATTCATTTGCGTCAAGTGCTAACATCAGAGTTAACGTAAGCATGATGTCACAATGTTCACTATGAGAAATCCTCTGTAGAAGTCTGTAGCTAGTTTTGAGTTTTTTAGCCTCCAATTGTCTGAACCTATTTTCATGTAAACAGTCTCCATTCAATGGAACACATTTAATACTTGGATGAGAACAATTTAAAGACAGCATAAACATACTAAGTAAAGTTTACTCCTTCGGGGAAGATTGAGTAGCAAATACTGACATCTAGCAGTCAGCTTGGAGATAGCGTTCATGTCTAAAGAAAAAATAATTAACCTTGCTGAACTAATTTGTTCGTCTAATTTGCATTTGCATTTCTTGTTTTCTACCTTCCTCTTTATGAACTTTTCTGTCTTAAACACAGTTGACTCACACGCTGTTGCCTGTTTCGGCATGACTTTATAGGTAACGTTCTCCCTTAGCGAAGGTTTTCCCAAGATGCTGGGAAATTACATTCTTCAGACACAACCCAGTAACAGATGGGAAGAGATGTTTTCAAACTTAATTTACCAGTGAAATAATTTATATCTCCTAATCATTTCTAAAAACACAAACCAACCGCATCCATCAGTTTTTGTGGAACATACTGTCAGCTTTGTTAAAAAGTACTTCATGTATTAGATAAGTTTGTATGAGGCTTTTTTGATCAATAAACAAATGCTTGTTAAAGTTGACATGTAACTTTAACAACATCTGTCGCGTCTGGCTCCCAGTTTCTGTTTTTCAGCATTCTAATTTCAAGGCACATTTAGGGACCAATCTTGTATTTAGATGTATTTTTCTTAGCGATGGTGTTAATATGTGTTGAAGCATCAGTGTATTTTCCTGTTTGCTGTTTTTTTCTCATGGTGGAACGACTTACCTTTGAGAGTATTCGCTCAAATAGCGCGTTCGTGCTTTGGCAACGCACGGGCATTTATCTTATGAGGGACAAAACGCACAGGGCGACGGGATCGTCAGTGAATCACGCAGGATGGCATTTTAAAGAGCGCTCCAGAGGTGCGGTATTTGTTGGCACTAGCTGGTAAATTGGACGTTGCGTTTGTGCATGACTGAATCTGTTGGAGCGAATCTGTCAAAAAGGGAACTTGGCGGCGGCGTTCGTCCCTTTTTTTTTTTCTTCCCTCCACCTCTCCGGTCTGTGTGATTTTTCTCCCCTTGCCTCCACTCACCTTCTTGTGTAACTGTCTTTCTTTCTCTCAAACAAAATAAACCTTGGCAGAGTAAATTACCCTGACCTCCACCGTTACCTGTATTTCTCTTTCACTGCCCCCTCACTTTTTGCTCAGCCCTGGGGTTTTTTTTTCTTCCCCCTGCTCCCCTTTCCTGTTCCCCTTGACTGCAGTTGCTAGGCAACAGCTGAATGAGCTTATGGGGTATGCAACTGACTAATTAGAAGTCTTTCAAAAACTAAAATTGGTGTCAAGAGTTTGTATTCATAGCTGAAGCTTTGGCCAGTGACATGCGGACTCTGGGTTGTATTTTTTACATGTATTTGAATCCTTACACTTATACCAATTGTTCATTTAGCTGTGTGTGTATTCCACCAAGTGTAATTGTCTGTGTGTAACAACATCTCAAGCTAGCGATGTTCTCTACTTTTAACACACATACACACAAACGTTTACTATTTAGTTTCTCTTCCTTCACTCGATTTGTATCAATCTAATGCTGTCTGGAATGTGTCTATACACGTCTTCTTGTTCCCTCTTTTATTCAGTCTTGTGCCCTTTCACACATTTTCCTTTATCCTATTATATAATCCTTTCCTCTTTTCCATCTACCTTCCGCTTTCTGTATCTATTTCATACTATAAACATCCCCGATCGGTGACCAGACCCATCCGTCAGTGTTTTCCCTCTGCCCATAGGATTCTATTATGGCTAACACACACACACACACACACACACACACACACACACACACACACATGCACGACGCCGCTCTGTCTTGTTTGGCCAAGGGCGCCGACATGATTACTTATGGAATCAAGACATCAATGCTGCTCTTGATGAAGGCCGTGATTGTGTGTGTCGGTTATAATGATGGTAATGTCTTCAACATAGCAGAGTTATCCAGAGGTACATCTAGACAAAAAATGGCTCTCATGGATTTTTGGCCACGAACCTCACTAATATTCTGAAAGCCGTGTATCGATGAGAAGGTCTGAATCTCTGATTTATTGCTTACTGTTGGATACTTAACCCTGATCTAACAAAATTCCCCAATGAATGTGATTTAATCAGATAGGCTTTTCTTAACTGCACTACTTATTTATGCATGATAACAGTAAGGTCATGTGTAGATTCTGTTTATTCATTCAAACCTTGGAGTTACTTGGAGTCACCCAGGAATTGGCACAGTGAAACATAATTTTTTAATTAATATTATTTTTGTATTTATGGCTTGGTTTGGAAGATTGCTTTTATTTCTTGTATTGCATTCTAATTTTAGGAGCGTCAGTCAGTGTGGTACCTTGATTTACTTGATAAAATTTGTCTGAACCATCTTCTAATTTCATTCATGCTAATGCGCAGCCCTCATTTGAAAACGATTTTTCTTTCTATAAAAAAAGAAGGAAATCCTTGCTAGGGCTTCATCCATAAATATCAGAATTATAAATATTAAAACAAGGCTTATTTGAACTGAATGAGTGGTGTACAGTAGTCCTGTGTGTACTGATAGGGAACTTGAATATGATGTAAACTGCCGACCTCGGAGATCTGTCCGTTAATGAATTACCGACTGCTGCTTTGCAAGATTTTCCGGAGTTGATATCCTCCACTTTTATTGAACTGACACGGCTCAGCCTTTGCAGAGCGGCGTGCGCCTCAAGGACCAGGAGGCACCACTGAGGGGG